ATTCATTAGCTCCAGAGCCAAGTTACTAATACTTATAACATTAGTAATTGCTAAAGATCAAAAATTTTGTTAATGTATGGTCTAGACGATTGGTTTCAAGATTAGGTAGCATTGGAATTTAGTAATGCTATAAGTATTACTATTTGTAATAATTTGTAATACGTGGAACTGGCTGGTCTAGACATAAAATATAATATATATTATATGCATTTACAGTTATCTAAAACAGAACTGAGATAAATTTTATTCACTTGAAATCTAGATTAAATAAAATTAAAATTACAATATTTGCTTTTAATTTATTACAAGTCAATTCTAAAATATATTAACATGTATAATTACTTGTTTAAAATAATTTCATTTTATTGTTTTATGTAAAATTTTTAATATAAATTTTATGATTAAATAACTTTATTACCATAGTTATTTTTATTTGAAATAGATTCCATATATTTATAAAATTTATACCTCTTATAAATAACCCATAAAACATGTTATTTTTGAAATCAGATTGCATGTATTTAGAGATAATATTCAATCATTTTATTAATCTATATTACAAAGAATAATACTAGCTTATATAACTTTTTGTGTTAGTGTCGATGTATTATGTTTTGGATTTCATTTAATATGGAATGAATAAGCACATAAGTTTCAATGTAAATAGGATATGGTTTTGCTTGATATCTTTACTTGATAAGGAATAAAAGTTTATTTCCCAGAATTATTCGAATAACAAATAACCGTTAACTTAGCTTATCAAATACTTAATTTAATCTTGGTTTAAATAGCATTTGAAAAATTAACCAGTTTCTCTATCAAATGATTATTACGATGGAGTTTATCAAATCAATTAAAAAATTTGTAGTTAATAAAGGTGGTCTTTATTTGAAATTTGTTATTTAAGTTCGCCCGAAGAAAGTGTGGTTAGAAATGAATTTCATGTATTGGGATCTTTGGGAAAATCGTAATTATAACTGAAAAAGTTAAATTTATCGACTAAAATGGGGGACAGAAACCAAACAATCGAAAATATTAAAAACCTATGCTAATATTAGATAATTTTATAAATATTAACATAAATAAGTATTATTGCAGTTTTGAATAAATTAGAATATATTTAATAGATAATGACATATTTTAAAAACTACAGTATTTAGAAAAATTATTACAGTTGGCTATACAACAAATAGCTAATAACTACAATATTGGCCACAATGTCTGTAAGTAATGAATAAAGTTATCATATTTAAACTATTTTTAAATATTACATAGTGTTTGACCAAGTATCCATTAAAATTCTATTATCAGTAACTGATAATAATGATTAATATTTATTTTTTTAATAGACTCCACGGAATATAACTATATTATTACTGGGTGAGACTGGTGTAGGAAAGTCTACTTTTATCAACGCATTCATCAATTACTTGACTTACGAGACCCTGGATGAGGCCAGTCGTAGTCCCAGATGTCTAATACCCGTCTCATTTACGATCGCCGATCAGCGCACATATAAGTCTCAAACGGTTAGGTTAGGTACGGTCGACATCAATGAAAACACGCAAAATACCACACAATCGGCCACACAATATCCCCGGTGTTATCAATTCACTAACGATTCAATTATCTTGAATTTCATTGATACCCCGGGTATTGCTGACACGAGTGGCATCGATAAGGATAAGAGAAATATGAAAAATCTGTTGGACTTTATAAGCAATTATCGCGAGATTAACGCCATTTGTGTGCTTTTGAAGCCTAACAACGCTAAAGTTGACATTGTTTTCAAGTATTGTTTGTATGAATTGTTTAGTAATTTAAACAAATCAGCGGCCGATAACATACTGTTCCTGTTTACCAATGCTCGGTCCACTCACTATGCACCGGGAGAGTCGGGACCAGCATTAATGGCATTGTTAGATGTTATTAAGCAAAGGCCCCCGAATGTAGACATAGAGTACAGCCGGGAAACTATCTATTGCTTCGATAACGAGGCCTTCCGTTACGCCGTGGCTACCGGACCCCCAAATAATATGGTTTTTGGTGATGACTTTCAACGCGATTATGAAAATAGTTGGAAACGGTATTCTAATTAAAATAATTTTGTAATTTAATTTGATTAAAACAAAATAATCTTTATTTTTAAAAATAATATGCATGATTTGTTTTAAATATAATATGACACTTAAGTGTTGCGTTAATTTAAGTAAAGGCATTGTCTCGAAAGGAAAACCCCGAGCCGTATCCCAATCATTTAATACACTATTTTCGGCAATTAATACAGAAATGTATTACAGAAAGAAAGTGTAAAATAGACATACATTGGATTTGTAAGTCTCGTTATAAGGTATTGTGTTTTAACATGTCAATA